CGCTGCCCCCCAGTGACACCCCCGTGCCCCTCACGGTGACCCTCATGTCCCTCCCAGTCCATTCCCCTTCCCTCACGGTCTCCCATTAACCCCCATGTCTCTCCCAGTTCCCCCCCTCAGACCCCTCCACGCTGAGACCCCACAAACATCCCTGTCTCCGCCCGAATGCTGGGGCAGAGGAAGGGGGAGCGCTGTGGGCTGGCACTGACACACACCCCCCCCAAATTTGGGGTCCCCAAATCCCAGCGGACACCGCAGCGCAGCCCGCGGGGGGGCACGGCCGTTTATTGGCACAGCAAAAGTCGGGAGGGGGGAAAGGGGGAGGAAAAACAGGGGTGGGGGCGAGGGGGTGGGAGAACAGGGGGAGCTCAGCCCTGCCGAGATCGGGCACAACTCAGCACAGCAGTGGCTGGGCACAACTCAGCACAGCAGTGACCCGCACCCCAGGGTGCCCCCACCCGACTCCTGTGGGCAGGAGGGTGGGGGCGAGGGTGGGAGTGGGGGCCTCCCGAGGCGCCGGGGGCCCTCAGGCACAACTCAGCACAGCAGTGACCCGCACCCCAGGGTGCCCCCACCCGACTCCTGTGGGCAGGAGGGTGGGGGCGAGGGTGGGAGTGGGGGCCTCCCGAGGCGCCGGGGGCCCTCAGGCACCCACCACATCAGAGCTCTCCGGAGACGGGTCCTTGGCGGCGGCACAGAGGTGGAAAAGCCCTGGGGAGGAGAGAGGAGGCCATGGGGCGTGGGGCAGCTCGGTGTGGCCATGGGGGCCCTCGCTGCCACCCCCCACCCACGGGTGCCCTGGGCACGTGGCTGGGCCCAGCTCAGCCCTGCAGAGGCCGGGCACAGCTCAGCACAGCCGTGACCAGGCCCCGTGGGCACCGCTACCTGCCGAGCTGGTGAGGACAACGGCGACCCAGCCCAGGATGTAGGACCAGGAGAAGCGCCAGGCGGTGCGGGCCGGCCCCAGGAGGCTCACCGTGCCGGCCGTGTACACCGCCAGCCCCAGCAGCGCCAGCAGACCTGCGGGCAGAGGGGACGGGTCAGCGGCACGGGCCAGCCCGGCCTGCGAGCCCCGAGCCGGGCGGGCAGAGGCCGTGCACAGCTCAGCGCAGCAGTGACTCCCCTGGGGACAGTCCCCGAGGCCCGTGTGCCCCAGCCCGTCCCCACGTACCAGCCAGGAGCAGGGTGATGCCAGCCACGCGGGCACGCGCCCGCCGGGCAGCGCTGGCCACGACGGAGAGCCCCAGGGCGAGGCCGCCAGCGGCGGTGAGCACCGAGAGCAGCATCAGCACCCGCGTGGCCTCCCATAAGGCTGGGGAAGGGGAGGGAAGGCGCTGGGGACACCTCGGGGACACGGGACCCCGAGTGGCTGCATGCCCAGGACAGTGGCCCCATGCCCCACCCACAGAGACCAGGCACAGCTCAGTGCAGCAGTGACACCGCCCCCATCCCCACCCACAGAGGCCGTGCACAGCTCAGCGCAGCAGTGATTCCCCCCATCCCCACCCTGCAGAGACCAGGCACAGCTCAGTGCAGCAGTGACCCCCCCATCCCCACCTGCAGAGGCCACGCACAGATCAGCGCATCAGTGACCCCCCCCAACCCCACCCGCAGAGG